CACCCCACGCGCTGTATATCATTTTAAAGCTTATTTCATGGAAAAGTTAAATCCACTTGTGATATCAGAAATATAGTCCAGTATGGAGATATAATCCAGAAATGACTCTTCTGGCTCCTTCCCACTTTGCTTAAACTACAATAGATTTGATCCTAAACAAATCGTACTGTATGCTTGTCTTCTTAGCCAAACAATGAGACCTTAGTTGTGGCGATTTCTAAATGACTAAAAAAGGACCGTATGGTTTGAATATCTTGTGCTTACAATGAAGTATGTGTTTGTTAGGGTTTTTATAAATGTAATATTTTAGGCAAACTTCAAAGGATGCATAGTTAAATAGGAATGACATACATTATTTTAGTGTATATTTACATCAACTAGAAGGCTCTAGCTTTAAAATGATGCATCACACAAGCATGTGACGGGTAAGATGCATTTTTAATCATGCATAGACATTTGGGTCCCTACTTTTGTGCACGAGCCAAAATGAGGCGGGTGTAACAGGATCAGCTTAGATGGAGCTATTTACTTTGTTAGTTCATGGTTTACAATGTAACTACCTGAGCGGCCACCAGAGGGAACTGCAGACACAGATTGTAAACATGTCATTTTACTTGAACCAAAACTCCCTCTCTTGCCCCTTACTTGTCCCTCTCTAATCTCTGGTCGTTCTCTCTCTTCACAGATACGGTAACCGCGGCCATAACCAGCCGTGCATCCACAAGGACACTCAGCGCTGCTTCATCACGAGTCAGAATCACGGATTTGCAGTCGATCCAGAGACGCTGCCTTCGGGCTGGGACGTCCTGTTCACCAACGCCAACGACCACAGCAACGAGGGCATCGTGCACCAGACCCTGCCACTGTTCAGGTGAGAGACCAGAGAGGCGTAGGGGGAGACCAGAGAGGCATAGGGGGAGACCAGAGAGGCATAGGGGGAGACCAGAGAGGCGTAGGGGGAGACCAGAGAGGCACCAGAGAGGCGGAGGGGGAGACCAGAGAGGCGGAGGGGGAGACCAGAGGGGGGGAGAGAGGACGGGGGAGAGAGCAAGGCCAGTGTTCAGGTAAGAGACCTCCTCAATCACTCCATTCTGGACCCAAATAACGGTGTATTTTAGTCTCGGGGAAAAGCTCTAAATTATGCACGGGTCACACCAGTGACAATACTTTGCATAATGACAGCGTAACGAGCCGTGGAGCTGTGTTTGGGAGTTGTATTCGTGAAAAATATGTTGCAAAGTGTCTGTATTTTAGTTCATGATAATGTGAGTCTCTGGTCTCCCACTCTGGTCTCCCACTCTGGTCTCCCACTCTGGTCTCCCTCTCTGGTCTCCCTCTCTGGTCTCCCACTCTGGTCTCTCGTTTTCTCTCTGGTCTGCTCTGACCTTTCCCTCTTGTATCCACAGTGTGCAGTTCCACCCGGAGCACATGGCGGGCCCCACAGACCTGGTCTCTCTGTTCGACGTCTTCATGGAAACTGTCCGTGAGCACATAGAGGGACGCGTCTCAAAGACAGGTGCAGGGACCTCCCCTCTCTCTCTCGCTCTCTCTCGCTGTAATTCTGACCCTTGACCTCTGACCCCTGTCTCCAGTGAAGCAGCGTCTGACGGAGCTGCTCACCTTCGCCGAGGCCCCTGACCCTAAGGAAGTGGTGCGGCCTCGGAAAGTCCTGATCCTGGGCTCCGGGGGTCTGTCCATCGGTCAGGCGGGAGAGTTCGACTACTCTGGGTCACAGGTCACTCTTCATTCTTTAAGGAGGATTTAGTTTAAGATCTAAACTGTTATCAGTCCACTTTGTCTTTACGTGAGACCAGACTCCCCCCTCCACGCCTCCTCCAGCTCACCATCCTGAAGTGTTCTCAGGCCAAAGAGACACTGTCCTTTATCTCTCAGGTCTCTGGCTTTCTCTCCTTCTTGGTCTTTCTGGTCTCTCTCTCTCTTGTCTCTGGCTCTCTCCCTCTCTCTTTCCTGGTCTTTCTGGTCTCTGTTTCTCTCTGGTCTGTCTCCCTCCGTCTCTGGCCCCTCTCTCTGGTTTCTCTTTGTTCTCTCCCCTGTGAGAGACCTTGCTGATGATGCATTAAGGTAAACTCTTCCCATTTGTTGTTAGAATGTATTAAACATCCATGGACGTATACAATACACTCATTCTTGGTTATTGGTTAAAATACTCCTGTAGTCCCTGAGACCCCTGACCCCTGTGTGCAGGCGATCAAAGCCCTGAAGGAGGAGAAGATCCAGTCAGTGCTCATCAACCCAAACATTGCCACGGTCCAGACGTCTACAGGACTCGCCGATAAAGTCTACTTTCTACCAATCACTGCAGACTATGTCACCCAGGTGAGAGGGACCGGAGGGAGAGAGAGGGACCAGAGGGACAGGCCGGGGGGAGAGCGAGAGACCGGGGGGAGAGACCGAGACCGGGGGGAGAGAGACCGGGACCGGGGGGAGAGAGACCGAGACCGGGACCGGGGGGAGAGAGACCGAGACCGGGACCGGGGGGAGAGAGACCGAGACCGGGACCGGGGGGAGAGAGACCGGGACCGGGGGGAGAGAGACCGAGACCGGGACCGGGGGGAGAGAGACCGAGACCGGGACCGGGGGGAGAGAGACCGGGACCGGGGGGAGAGAGACCGGGACCGGGGGGAGAGAGACCGGGACCGGGGGGAGAGAGACCGGGACCGGGGGGAGAGAGACCGAGACCGGGACCGGGGGGGAGAGAGACCGAGACCGGGACCGGGGGGAGAGAGACCGGGACCGGGGGGAGAGAGACCGAGACCGGGACCGGGGGGAGAGAGACCGAGACCGGGACCGGGGGGAGAGAGACCGAGACCGGGACCGGGGGGAGAGAGACCGAGACCGGGACCGGGGGGAGAGAGACCGAGACCGGGACCGGGGGGAGAGAGACCGAGACCGGGACCGGGGGGAGAGAGACCGAGACCGAGACCGGGGGGAGAGAGACCGAGACCGAGACCGGGGGGAGAGAGACCGAGACCGAGACCGGGGGGGAGAGAGACCGAGACCGGGGGAGAGAGACCGAGACCGGGGGGAGAGAGACCGGGACCGGGGGGAGAGAGACCGAGGCCGAGACCGGGGGGAGAGAGACCGGGACCGGGGGGAGAGAGACCGGGACCGGGGGGAGAGAGACCGAGACCGGGGGGAGAGAGACCGAGACCGAGACCGGGGGGAGAGAGACCGAGACCGAGACCGGGGGGAGAGAGACCGAGACCGAGACGGGGGAGAGAGACCGAGACCGGGACCGGGGGGAGAGAGACCGAGACCGGGACCGGGGGGAGAGAGACCGGGACCGGGGGGAGAGAGACCGGGACCGGGGGGAGAGGGACCGGGGGGAGAGAGACCGAGACCGGGACCGGGACCGGGGGGAGAGAGACCGAGACCGGGACCGGGGGGAGAGAGACCGAGACCGGGACCGGGGGGAGAGAGACCGAGACCGGGACCGGGGGGAGAGAGACCGAGACCGGGACCGGGGGGAGAGAGACCGAGACCGGGACCGGGGGGAGAGAGACCGAGACCGGGACCGGGGGGAGAGAGACCGAGACCGAGACCGGGACCGGGGGGAGAGAGACCGAGACCGAGACCGGGGGGAGAGAGACCGAGACCGAGACCGGGGGGAGAGAGACCGAGACCGAGACCGAGACCGGGGGGAGAGAGACCGAGACCGAGACCGAGACCGGGGGGAGAGAGACCGAGACCGAGACCGGGGGGAGAGAGACCGAGACCGAGACCGGGGGGAGAGAGACCGAGACCGAGACCGGGGGGAGAGAGACCAAGACCGGGACCGAGACCGGGACCGGGGGGAGAGAGACCGAGACCGGGACCGAGACCGGGACCGGGGGGAGAGAGACCGAGACCGGGAGGAGAGAGACCGAGACCGGGACCGGGGGGAGAGAGACCGAGACCGGGACCGGGGGGAGAGAGACCGAGACCGGGACCGGGGGGGGAGAGAGACCGAGACCGGGACCGGGGGGAGAGAGACCGAGACCGGGACCGGGGGGAGAGAGACAGAGACCGGGACCGGGGGGAGAGAGACAGAGACCGGGACCGGGAACGGGGGGAGAGAGACAGAGACCAGGGGGAGAGACCTGATCATCCTCCAGATTGTGTAGTGACCACCTCCCCCTGGTGTTCAGGTGATAAAGAACGAGCGTCCGGATGGCGTGTTGCTGACCTTTGGTGGGCAGACGGCGCTGAACTGTGGTGTGGAGCTGACCAAACGCGGCGTCCTGGAGCAGTACGGGGTCCGCGTGTTGGGAACCCCTGTGTCCTCCATTGAGATGACCGAGGACCGCAAGGTGTTTGTGGAGAAGATGGAGGAGATCAACGAGCATGTGGCCCCCAGCGAAGCCGCCTTCTCCGTGGAGCAGGTACCATCTGACCACCACACTGTTCTAGACTCTGGACTGAAGCTGCATTAAAGCTGGGGTCTGTAACTTTCAGACCAGTAGAACTCTTTTAAACCCATGTCTCTAGTTCTGGCTCTAAAACATTTGCTTCTGTCACTAGTTTCACGTATTTCTGTCTCTTGTCACAAATTTAGATCAAAGAGAGGACCACCTTCACTCAGCCAATCAGCTCTCAGCCCAAAGAGGCAGATAGTCACTCAGGGATCAGGGCAAATCCACAACTTTTAGCTCCTCAGAGGCGACTTTTGTTGAGTTTTAGGGAGATACACAAATACATTGAATTAAAAATTTGATTTGAGACTGAAGCTACATACTACAATGAGAGATGTATTCTTCTTTTCCTAGTAAATTAGTAAAAGTCTAGTAAAAGTAAAATGTCCTAAAAGTTGCCCAAATATTTATTGTGAAGTTGATTTTTCTTTCTTTCTTTCTATATTGCTCCTGATCCTTTTGTTTTATGCTCCAAACCACACTATCAAAGCGAAACATAATGTTCCCCTTGGTGTCTCTCAGGCGGTGGCGGCGGCGGAGCGGCTGGGGTACCCGGTGCTGGTTCGCTCGGCCTTCGCTCTCGGAGGTCTGGGCTCAGGATTTGCCAACAGCAGAGAGGAGCTGGTGTCTCTGGTGACGGCGGCGTTCGCTCACACGTCTCAGGTTCTGGTTGACAAGAGTCTGAAAGGATGGAAGGAGATTGAGTACGAGGTGGTGAGGGACGCCTACGACAACTGCATCACGGTGAGTCTCTCTGGTCTCGCTCTCTCTGGTCTCACTCTCTCTCTGGTCTGTCTCTCTGGTCTGTCTCCCTGGTCTGTCTGTCTCTCTCTGATCTGTCTCTCTGGTCTCGCGCTCTCTCTGGTCTGTCTCTCTGGTCTTGCTCTCTTTCTGGTCTTGCTCTCTTTCTGGTCTTGCTCTCTTTCTGGTCTCGCTCTCTCTCTGGTCTCGCTCTCTCTCTGGTCTCGCTCTCTCTCTGGTCTCTCTCTGGTCTGTCTCTCTCTCTGGTCTGTCTCTCTCTCTGGTCTCGCTCTCTCTCTCTGGTCTCGCTCTCTCTCTGATCTGTCTCTCTGGTCTTGCTCTCTGGTCTTGCTCTCTTTCTGGTCTTGCTCTCTCTCTGGTCTGTCTCTCTGGTCTTGCTCTCTTTCTGGTCTCGCTGGTCTGTCTCGCTCTCTCTCTCTGGTCATTCTCTGGTCTTCTCAGCTGTGACTGTAAAGTGCCAAAGTGTGGTTGTGTCCTTAGGCAAGACACTTCACCCACATTAGAGTGAGTCTGCTGTGTGTGTGTGTGTGTGTGTGTGTGAATGGTTGGTGGTGGTGGGAGGGAGCGCAGCCACCCCTACTGTAAAGAGAATGAGCGTCCAGAAAAGCGTTGTATATAAACCATGCATTATTTGTGTGTGTGTGTGTTGTTGTGTTGCAGGTGTGTAACATGGAAAACATGGACCCCCTGGGGATCCACACTGGAGAGTCCATCGTCGTTGCTCCCAGTCAGACGCTGAACGACCGCGAGTACAACATGCTGCGCACCACCGCCCTCAAGGTCATCAGGCACTTGGGCATCGTGGGCGAGTGCAATATCCAGTATGCCCTGAACCCCGAGAGCGAACAGGTACGACCTCTGACCTTTGAACCCCAAGAGCGAACGGGTTTAACTTGAGAAACGTTCCCCCTGCGTCTCTGGTCTCTCTTTCCTCTGGTCTCTCTGTTTCTCTGTGGTCTCTCTTTCTAATTCCTTACTTGTCTTTCTCTCTCTCTGGCCAATGTCTTGCTGGTCTCTCTCTATCTGTGTTGTTCTTTGTACATTATCCCGATCTAATATGTGTTTGTGTGTGTGTGTGTGTGTGTCTTTGTTTGTCTCTGTGTATAAATGTGTGTGCTTGTCTCTGTGTATATGTGTGTTCAGTACTACATCATCGAGGTGAACGCCCGGCTCTCTCGCAGCTCGGCTCTGGCCTCTAAAGCCACTGGTTATCCTCTGGCTTATGTTGCTGCCAAACTGGGACTGGGGATTCCTCTACCTCAGCTCAAGTAAGAGTGCCCCCTGCTGGAGCTACCCACACACCCACACACAAACCTGAGCATCATTCACACTGAGCAAAAGCACTCCGATCGATTACATCTAAAGCACTGATGAAATGTGTTTTTACAGGAACTCTGTGACAAACTCGACGACTGCGAACTTTGAGCCGAGTCTGGACTACTGTGTGGTGAAGGTTCCTCGCTGGGACCTCAGCAAGTTCCTAAGGGTCTCCACTCAGATCGGCTCCTCCATGAAGAGCGTGGGTGAGAGAACCTCTCTGCTCTCTCCTGTCTCTTTGGTCTCTCTCTGGTCCTGTTTTGACTCTCTCCCTTCTGCCTGTTGCAGGGGAGGTGATGGCCATCGGACGCAGTTTTGAGGAGGCCTTTCAGAAAGCTCTGCGGATGGTGGACGAGAACTGTGTGGGCTTCGATCACACCATCAAACCAGCCTCAGAGAAGGTACCAGCTGTGCTATTAGTGATCCTTCTCTCTGGTCTCTCTTTGGCCTCCCTCTAGCCCAGTGTTTTTCAACCACTGTGCCGCGGCACACTAGTGTGCCGTATTATATTGTCTGGTGTGCCGTGAGAAATTCGTCTACTTTGTCTAAAAATAACTGCATTCGCTGTTGACGAGCGGTGACTTGTTTTGAACTGTGGAGTAACCATGTAATACTTTTTCAAATCAGTAGATGGCAGCAGATAGCTAAGTACTTTGAAACTGAAAAATTGGATGCGACCACTGGCTGTAACAGGTCAGCATTGTGACGAGAAAGGTAAAATTGGATGCGACCAACAAATGTGGGAGGGAGCGAGACAAGAGCTTTGTGGCGAGTGAGAAGTGAAAGTGATAGAGACGTTTTTGAAAATGAATTATGCCGTTTCTGAACAGGATTAACATCCTCCGCTCTGCCCCGGGGCAGCTGTGGCCGCGTTGTAGTGGTTTAACTATGAAATGTACAATTTTTGTACAACAGCTCTCGCGAACGCACTTCTGAACTGGGTACCGAGCGCAGATCATAGTCGAGTGGACAGAACCATAGACATGCGGACCGGACAGAACCATGGACTCGCGTTCAGGACCTCCCGTGTCCCTCATCCAAAACTCCTGAATTTAAAGCTCGGATACCTAAATTTTTCCCATGCACTAACAATGCATGTTCTTTGTGTGAGTTATTATTTGACTATTTGGGCAGAGAGTGGATTTTCTTAGTTTTTTTCCACACAGTTAGTGCCACTTTATTCCCAAACTCTTGTTAATTGTATCGAAAAATATTAAATAAAGCTTAATGTCAAGGCCTGGACTTAAGCATTTTGATGAGAATAACTGTATATTGTGAATATAGGCTACAGAGTATACTGTATACATTATAAGATAAGATAAGATATACTTTATATATCACACAGAGTATGTACAGTATATATTTTTACATTAGTACTGTATACATTTTTACATTTTCTCCTGGAGGTGTGCCGCAAGATTTTTTCAGTGAAAAAAGTGTGCCTTGGCTCAAAAAAGGTTGAAAAACACTGCTCTAGCCTCCCTCTCTGGTCTCTCTCTGGTCTGGTCTCCGTTTAACCCCCTGGTGGTGTGTTCAGGAACTGCAGACGCCCACAGATAAGCGTATCTTTGTCCTGGCGGCTGCTCTCAGAGAAGGGTACTCTGTGGAGAAACTGTACGACCTGACCAAGATCGACCGCTGGTTCCTGCACAAGATGAAGAACATCGTGGACCATGAGAAACTACTGGAGACATTCAAGCAGGTGAGGAGGGTGAGGAGGAGTCTGCTTCCACACAGTGTTATCCTCAGTCCTTAACCTTGTCCTCTCTGTGCAGGATGAGAGTGCGATGCCTCCTCAGGTCATGAGAAAAGCCAAACAGCTGGGATTCTCCGACAAACAGATCGCTCTGGCCGTTCAGAGGTGACGCTCTGTTTTATTACAATTATAAATGACTTATACATTTTAAATCTATACAAACAATGGTGCAAGACCAAAGGAGTGTGTAATCAATAGTTTAATTACTTTTGAGTGCTGTCACTGCAACTATATCTTTACTCTTTTTAATGTCCTGTGATTATGTATTATGATAATGCCTAGTGTGATTGTTTCTAGCTTGTTTTGTTCAGCCTTTGGCTTGTGTATGAACTGTGCTATACAAATAACCTTTGCCTGTGGTGTCTGTAGCACGGAGCTGGCGGTGCGGCGTCTGCGTGGCCTCTGGTCTGTGCTGCCGGTGGTGAAGCAGATTGACACGGTGGCGGCGGAATGGCCGGCGCACACAAACTACCTCTACCTAACGTACCATGGGTCTGAGAGTGACATCACTTTCAGCTCGCAGCACGTCATGGTCATCGGCTCTGGCGTTTACCGCATCGGCAGCAGCGTGGAGTTCGACTGGTGCGCCGTGGGCTGCATCTCCGAGCTGCGCAAGGTCTGTCACATAGTCTGCCACATGGTCTGAGTGATGTCACATGCGTCAGCTCTAACCAATGAGGTGTATTAACTGTGTAATGACGTGTTGTTGCAGATGGGATATAAAACCATCATGGTGAACTATAATCCTGAGACCGTGAGCACAGACTACGACATGTGCGACAGACTCTACTTTGACGAGATTTCCTTCGAGGTGAGATTCCAGCATCTGTTACACAAGATTTAAGGAGAGGAAGAGGAGGACCAGGAGGTTAGGGAAAGGGAGGGGAGGAGGAGAAGGGAGAGAAGAGAGGGGAGGAAGGGAGGAGCGAGAAGAGGAGAGGGAAACATGTAAAGAATGATTCATGAATTTAACTTTTGGTGACAATGGTGACAATTTCAAACTTTGAGACCAGATTCATCCCAATTAAGGGGGAAAGAGTTAAAATAATTTTGGTCTTTTTTTGATCTGAGACTTATATACATATATGTCTAAAGAAATAGGGGATATTAAGTTGACAAAACTCTTGTCAACAAAACAAGAGTGTTTTATGTTTCATTAGAAAAAGCAGATGGATATATCTCAAAGGGTAATGGGAAGAACCCTTTTGGTAAATCCTTAAATACCTTATACCCCTGTCTCTCTTTCTCTCTCCTCTCTCTCTCTCTTCCTCACTGCCCCCTCCCTCCTTGCAGGTGGTGATGGACATCTATGAGCGGGAGAACCCTGAGGGGGTGGTCCTGTCGATGGGGGGGCAGCTCCCGAACAACATAGCGATGTCCCTGCACAGACAGCAGTGTCGCATCCTGGGAACGTCCCCTGAGTTCATTGACAACGCAGAGAACCGCTTCAAGTTCTCACGCATGCTGGACGCCATCGGCATCAGCCAACCACGGTGGAAGGAGCTGTCAGACACACAGGTGAGAGAAGGGGAGGGGCTGTCCAATACACAGGTTAGGGAGAGGTAGAGGGAGGAGCTAAAGGTGAAGTAGGGCTGAATAGAAATGTAAATCAAGCCGGATGTGACCTCTGCCCTTTGCCCAGGTCTGTCTTGGAAACTCCTCACTGTGAGTGCTATCTCTCCTTGTGTTTCAGTCAAAACATACTCTGTCCCCTCTCTTCTGTCACCTTTCCCCTCTCTCACCCTCTCTCTCTCTCCCCTGTGTTCCAGTCTGCAGTGGGCTTCTGTGAGTCGGTGGGGTACCCCTGTCTGGTGAGACCCTCGTACGTTCTGAGTGGAGCAGCAATGAACGTGGCGTACACGGACTCGGATCTGGTCAAGTTCCTGTCGAGCGCCGTCGCTGTGTCCAAGGAGCATCCAGTGGTCATCTCAAAGTTCATCCAGGAGGCCAAGGTCAGAACGCTGCTGCAGAAGTCCAACACTCAGACCCACAGAGCGTATGGGAGTGGACTGACAGTGTGACATCACCAAAATGTTAGCTTTTAATGTGGAAGAAGCCGATTAGAGCCGACTCATACTTGAGCAGAATGTGGAGCCAAACTTAAGCAAATGTGGGTAGTAACGAGTGAGTTGGTCTGTTCCTGCTCGCTGTTTAAGCTGAATTTGGCAACAGAAGGATCCTGATTGGTCAGTGGTTCAGGCTCGTATATCTGGATTTACAAAGACAATATACAAAAATATAAACACCAGGATCAGAGAGAGTGCTAGACTGAGAGAGTGCTAGACTGAGAGAGTGCTAGACTGAGAGAGTGCTAGACTGAGAGAGTGCTAGACTGAGAGAGTGCTAGACTGAGAGAGTGCTAGACTGAGAGAGTGCTAGACTGAGAGAGTGCTAGACTGAGAGAGTGCTAGACTGAGAGAGTGCTAGACTGAGAGAGTGCTAGACTGAGAGAGTGCTAGACTGAGAGAGTGCTAGACTGAGAGAGTGCTAGACTGAGAGAGTGCTAGACTGAGAGAGTGCTAGACTGAGAGAGTGCTAGACTGAGAGAGTGCTAGACTGAGAGAGTGCTAGACTGAGAGAGTGCTAGACTGAGAGAGTGCTAGACTGAGAGAGAGATAGAGGGTGAGAGAGAGATAGAGAGAGAGAGAGAGAGAGAGAGAGAGAGATGGAGGCTGAGAGAGATGGATAAAGTGAGGTACCCCAGCTTTATGTGACCTGTTTGTGTGTGTCTTCAGGAGATAGACGTGGATGCCGTGGCTCTGGACGGAGTGGTGCTCGCCATCGCGGTGTCAGAGCACGTGGAGAACGCTGGGGTCCACTCTGGAGACGCTACACTGGTCACACCACCTCAGGACTTGAACCAGAAGACCATCGACCGCATCAAGACCATAGTCCACGCCATCGGACTGGAGCTGCAGGTCACGGGGCCATTCAACCTCCAGCTCATCGCCAAGGTAACCGAGGAGGGGAGCACACTAGAGTGGTTATAAGTCAGTGTTAAGTTATATCTTTTTCTGTTTGTTTCCAGGACGACCAGCTGAAGGTGATCGAGTGTAACGTCCGGGTCTCTCGTTCTTTCCCCTTCGTCTCCAAGACTCTGGGCGTGGACCTGGTTGCCCTGGCAACGCGGGCTATCATGGGGGAGGAGGTGGAGCCGGTGGGACTGATGACAGGGAAGGGTGTGGTCGGGGTCAAGGTGAGGTGTTCTCATTTCAGGGTTCAGGAGATCCTCAGGATTCTCCTATCTGGCACCTCCTGCAGTGCTCCTCTGACCCTCTTGCTCCTCCTACAGGTGCCACAGTTCTCCTTCTCACGCCTGGCCGGGGCAGACGTGGTACTGGGGGTGGAGATGACCAGCACAGGGGAGGTGGCGTGTTTTGGAGAGAACAGGTACGAGGCGTACCTGAAGGCCATGCTCTCCACAGGCTTCAAGATCCCACAGAAGAACATCCTGCTGTCCATCGGCAGCTACAAGGTACAGCTGCTCCGGAGATAACTCTGTGGTGCTCTGTGTGTTTGACTCTGTGTATCTGTGCTCTGTAATGTATACTAGCATTAGCAGCTTTGTACAGTCTCACAAAAAGTATTTAGTCAGCCAATTGTGCCAAGTGCTCCTACTTAAAAAGATGAGGGAAGCCTGTCATTTCATCAAAGGTATACCTCAACTATGAGAGACCGAATGAAATAAAGAATCTAGAAAATCACATGGCCAAGACCAGACATGTCCCCTGCTTAAACCAGTACATGTCCAGGCCTGTCTCAAGTTTGCTACAGAGCATTTGGATGATCCAGAAGAGGATTGGGAGAATGTCATATGGTCAGATTAAATCAAAATGGAACTTTTGGGTGAAACCTCAACTTGTTGTGTTTGGAGAAGAAAGAATGCTGAGTTGCATCCCAAGAACACCATACCTAAAGCATGGGGGTGGAAACATCATGCATTGGGGCTGTTTTTCTGCAAAGGGACCAGGACGACTGATCCGTGTAAAGGAAAGAATGAATGGGGCCATGTATCGTGAGATTTTGAATGGAAACCTCGTTCCATCAGCAATGGCATTGAAGATGAAACATGGCTGGGTCTTTCAGCACGACAATGATCCCAAACACACGGCAACAAAAGGAGGACATGAAGAAAATTACAGGCCCCCCCCATGTTTTTAAGTAGGAGTACTTGCACAATTGGTGGCTGACTAAATACTTTTTTGCCCCACTGTAGATTTATCAGATGTAAATATTGTCCTATTGCTCTGGTCAGAGGCTGAACTGCATTTAGTCACATTGTGCTGACTTTGTAACAACAATCAAGTTTAAACTAATCTAATCTCTGCGTTTTACTCTGTGTGTCTCTGTGTTCCAGAACAAGAGTGAGCTGCTGCCCACAGTGCAAGCTCTAGAGTCTCTGGGATACGATCTTTATGCCAGTGTTGGGACTGCTGACTTCTACACAGAGCACGGGGTCAAGGTGATGCACACACACGCACAAACCTTTTACATTCATCCTGAATGACAATTTAATAATAACATCTTTCCAACTAGAACTGTCTTTATTCACAGCATCACGGGTAAAGAATTCTAAAACAATCTATAGAGTCTATAGAACTCTCACATAAACTTGCACCTAGAAAACGCCGTTATTTGAGATGCAGAGAATTTAATTGATCTAAAACAGCTTGGTTCATTGTTTATGTTCATAACTACACACAAGGGTACGCTTGAGTATACGAACTGAGTATACACAGGCCTTAACTGTCCCTGTGCTGCAGGTGACAGCGGTGGACTGGCCCTTTGAGGAGGAGGAGGCCTGCAGGGACAAACAGCCCAGTATTATGGATTACCTGGAGGAAAACCACTTCGACCTGGTCATCAACCTGTCCATGAGGAACAGCGGGGGGCGCCGCCTTTCCTCATTCGTCACCAAAGGATACCGTACCCGGCGCATGGCGGTCGACTACTCTGTGCCCCTCATCATCGACATCAAGTGCACCAAGCTCTTTGTACAGGTCAGACACGGGAGGTCGGGCGCGGGAGGTCGGGCGCGGGATGTCGGACAATATTCATTTAAATATTTCATTTAAATATTTCATTTAAATATTTCATTTAATTTCATGTATTTGTGTCTCACTCTAAATCACAGCAGCAGTCGTCTCAGAGGAGTGTACAAATCAATAACAGATCAGAGAATCAATCAGTCCGACCCATTTAAGGTCCGCGACCAGCAGGGGGCGGTACAGTCGTCAGGGATTTAGGTTTAATCAAAAACAATCCGTTTTTCGGCATCACTTTTAGTATATTCTTCATTTTGGCAAATGTTGCTGTAATTATGCTGTATCCTGTGGTTTCAGGCTCTGCACCGGATTGGCCGCTGTCCTCCTGTGAAGACTCATGTGGACAGTATGACATCACAGACTCTGGTCCGACTGCCAGGTACAGGAGGAGGCCCACAGAGGGCGCTGTATAGAGGGTGGTCCACAGGGGGCGCTGTAGGAAGGAGATCCACAGGGGGCGCTGTAGGAAGGAGATCCACAGGGGGCGCTGTAGGGAGGAGATCCACAGTGGGTGCTGCAGAGAGGGTGGTCCACAGGGGGCAGTGTAGGGCTGGCATCTCTCCTTTCTCTCTTACCTCTCTCTCACCCCTCCACTCTCCTCAGGCCTCATAGACGTCCATGTTCACCTGCGTGAGCCTGGGGCTGTCCATAAAGAGGACTTCTCCTCTGGGACAGCGGCAGCTCTGGCGGGAGGTATCACGATGGTCTGTGCAATGCCCAACACGTCGCCCGCGGTTACGGACGCCAGCTCGCTTGGCCTGGTGCAAAAGGTGAGAGAGGACACAGCCAAAACAACAACTCTATTCTCATCATTAACACAGGGTTTAACAATTTCTCTGGTCTCCTCACAGTTGGCGAAGGCCGGCTGCCGCTGTGACTACGCCCTTTACCTGGGAGCGTCCTCGGAGAACGCAGCTGCGCTCGCTTCCATCGCTCACCAGGCGGTGGCGCTCAAGATGTACCTGAATGACACCTACTCCACTCTGAAGATGGACAATGTGTCTCTGTGGATGGAGGTGGGTCACATGGCGGAGGTCACGCTAACAGACTGTGTACTGATGGACAATGCTAACACAAACTGTATAAAAGAGAAAGTCGTTGTTCTGTCTCTAACGTGTTCTTCTTCTGTTGCAGCACTTTGAGAAGTGGCCAAAGTCGCTCCCGATTGTGGCTCACGCAGAGAGACAGTCGGTTGCCGCCATCCTGATGGTGGCTCAGCTGTACCAGAGACCTGTTCATATAGCACACGTGGCCAGAAAAGAGGAGGTGAGAGAGGAGCAGAGAGGAGGGGGGAGGAAGAGTCGTCCTCTTCTTGACCCTCCTCTTCAGATCCCTTTGACTCTCTCCTCCTCCTCAGATCCTCCTGATTCGAGCAGCCAAACAGCGCGGGCTCCAGGTCACATGTGAAGTTGCTCCTCATCACTTGTTTCTCTGTGATGAAGACATTGTGGAGATTGGACCTGGACGCGCTCAAGTTCGCCCCACTCTGGCAACGCGCGAGGACCAGGCGGCTCTATGGGAGAACATGGACATCATTGACTGTTTCGCCACCGACCACGGTAACCAGAGGTCCTTGCTTGACCCCCTGGGTCTTCTCCTGGTTCTCTGAGCACTAGTTTAGGTGGACAGCCGTGTCTCTGTAGATTTCCAGTGATGCCAGACTCTATCCATGTCTGAATTATTGATTAAACTGTTTTGAGATTAACCCTGACCTCTGACCTGACCCTCTGCTCGCTCTCTCTGGTCTTGCTATCTGCTCCCTCTTTTTGGTCTCTTTCTGGTCTCGCTCTACTTACACCTTTTTACACCCCTCCAGTCTAGTTCTAATCCCTCTCTCTCGTCAGCTCCTCACTCTGTAGAGGAGAAGAGCGCCTCCTCTCCTCCTCCCGGGTTTCCTGGTCTGGAGACGATGCTCCCTCTGCTCCTCACAGCCGTCAGTGAAGGTCGTCTGAGTCTGGACGATGTAATCCAGAGACTGTACGAGAACCCGAGGAGGATCTTCAACCTGCCGGCTCAGGACAACACCTATGTGGAGGTGAGGAGACCAGAAAGACATCTGCGAGGAGGTGAGAAGAGGAGGACACACGTGAGGAGGTGCGGACTGGAGATTGGCTTCACCACAGTGTGAAATAATTTGAGAACATGCAGCAATCGGAGAGAACAGGGGTCACTGAGACCATGCATTTTCTTTCCCTTTGTCCATTTCTGGGTCAGAGCTGCACCCAAGTCACTGATCCTCCTGCAGGAGGTGAGTCCACCTGCTCTGTCGGTGAGAGCACAGCCTTGATCTTTAAACGGGGCTTCAGGCAAAGTGAGGTTAAGTGTCTTGCCCAAGGACCCAATGACAGAAGACATCAGTGGGAGTTGGTGGAAGGTCTCGAGAAGGGTTAGAATCCATGTTGTAGCGGCCAAAACTTGCCCTGTGCAAGGTCCGCTGGATGTAGTGTGTGATGGCGTCTCGGACATGGCAGGAGGCAGCAAAAGAAAACAAGGAAAAATGGCTCCAACACACGTCCTTCAGGCTCAAAGGCCAATGCCTTCGGCCTTTGAGGTAATAATGATTTGTGCGAATAGCAGAGTCTTATTTCAGTCTCTGATTTTACTGCGTCAGCTCGAACTCAAACAGACCTGAACAGGACCCAGCGGGTGTCTGGTAAAGATCTTCAGCTCTGAGAACCTCTGTGTGTGTTGTGATAATAATTGTTTGTGTGTCAGTGTGTCAGTGTGTTATTGTGTTGTAATAAGTGTGTGTGTTGCAGGTGGACCTGGAGCAGGAATGGCAGATCCCGTCCTTCATGCGCTTCACTAAATCCAAATGGACTCCGTTCTGTGGGAGGAGGGTGAAGGGGAAGGTGATGAGGGTGGTGCTGAGAGGGGAGGTGGCTTACATCGACGGACAGGTAAGAGACCATGTGGGACTGGGACCATGTGGGAGAGACAGGAGAGTCAACTCCCTGTGTGTTTATGCAGGTGCTGGTCGCCCCTGGTTACGGTGAGGATGTAAAAACATGGCCGGCGCAGCTGCCTGCAGAGTCAAAGGAGGCGCCCACGGTAAGTCCAGGTTTTCAGGTTCAGACTTTAGTCTCAGGACTGTACCCCGGTCTTGTTCCTCCTGACGCTTAAAGGAGCTATACCCAAATCTGCAAGGTTTTTTTCAGTTTGAATGTTTAGCACCGCCCCTAACTCGCTCACAGGCTTCTCATTTGGAAAAACTCTCCTACACTCCCATACACTCTCTTCCCACGGAGCCATCTAGTTTTATTTGCGATCTGATTTGTATGTAAACATTAGCACAACTTCTTCTAAGCTGTACAACAATCACTGATGAAATGGTACAAAAGCATCACACTGCTAACAAAATATAGAGTACAATAACTGAAAGATTACCGCTAGGTTTGCGTCCAAATGTTGTCCGAGCAGGCCCGCTCCCACAGGTCTCTCCAGAAGATGCGATGTAAGCTACTTATATTCACCCGAGCTTGATTTCTTCTTTGATCTTTTTTTCGCTTTAGTTCCCTCTTATCTTCCTCACTGTTGCGTCTTTTGGGCTGTTTTGCAGTGTATGCAGTTTCAGCCAGAGGAGTTATAGCCACTTTCTGCTAAAATGCGGCTGTGTTTATCTGCGCTGCAGGCGCTAGAGGAGGCGGTCTTGCATTCATTCATAAGCTAAATCAATGAGCTAAACATTTCAATTGAATTACGGGTTTTAATACAACTTGTATGTAGTAATACGCATTATTATGTACTCATTATAAAATAAATAATGTATAGTTCCATTAACCCTGGTCTGGTTCCAGACCCCGGAGCCGCTGAGACCCACTCCTCCTCGGGACTTGATCCGGACCAGAGCCCACAGTCCTCGACGCTCTGGAGATCGAGGGTTTCTGCTTCCTCCCAGAATCCACCGCTGCTCTGACCCCGGCCTGCCCCAAGGTAATGAGGCACCACAATGGACTGTGGGAATGAGGCTAACAAGTTACAGTAACTTGCTAACTCTCTAGCTCTGAAGCCTCAGGACCAGCCTCTGTCAACACATTTAGCTTCAGCAGCAGATTGATGCATCTCCAACTTGGGTATAATAAAGAAGCACACCTGTGTGGTTGGCTCTAATATCGGCTTCTGACTCTCCTCTCCGCAGAGCTGGCGTCGCTGCCCCCCTCTGGTGACCCCTACGCCCACCCCCCTCCTCTGTCCCGCCTCCTCTCCCCTCAGGCCCTGCCCCCTGCAGTACCTGTGTCTCACCTTCAGGTGTCTCCACTGCTACATCCTCTGGTGGGACAACACATCCTGTCAGTGAAGCAGTTCACCAAGGAACAGGTGAGAGACCAGAAAGAGAACCAGAGAGAGAGAGAGGAGAGACCAGAGAGAGAGAGAAGAGACCAGAGAGAGAGAGAAGAGACCAGAGAGAGAGAGAAGAGACCAGAGAGAGAGAGAAGAGACCAGAGAGAGAGAGAAGAGACCAGAGAGAGAGCGAAGAGACCAGAGAGAGAGAAGAGACCAGAGAGAGAGAGAAGAGACCAGAGAGAGAGAGAGAAGAGACCAGAGAGAGAGAGAGAAGAGACCAGAGAGAGAGAGAAGAGACCAGAGAGAGAGAGAAGAGACCAGAGAGAGAGAGAAGCGACCAGAGAGAGAGAGAAGCGACCAGAGAGAGAGAGAAGAGACCAGAGAGAGAGAGAAGAGACCAGAGAGAGAGAGAAGAGACCAGAGAGAGAGAGAGAAGAGACCAGAGAGAGAGAGAAGAGACCAGAGAGAGAGAGAAGAGACCAGAGAGAGAGAGAAGAGACCAGAGAGAGAGAGAAGAGACCAGAGAGAGAGAGAAGAGACCAGAGAGAGAGAGAGAAGAGACCAGAGAGAGAGAGAAGAGACCAGAGAGAGAGAGAAGAGACCAGAGAGAGAGAGAAGAGACCAGAGAGAGAGAGAAGAGACCAGAGAGAGAGAGAAGAGACCAGAGAGAGAGAGAAGAGACCAGAGAGAGAGAGAAGAGACCAGAGAGAGAGAGAAGAGACCAGAGAGAGAGAGAAGAGACCAGAGAGAGAGAGAAGAGACCAGAGAGAGAGAGAAGAGACCAGAGAGAGAAGAGACCAGAGAGAGAAGAGACCAGAGAATATTAAAACTAACCTTCTGAATCTTCCTGTTGTGTTCTTGCAGATGTCTCACTTGTTCAACGTGGCTCACTCTCTGCGTCTCATGGTGCAAAAGGAGCGCAACCTGGACATCCTCAAGGTACAAACCAGAGTGTGACGTCACCTGTTTCCTTATATGGGCATTTGTTCTGCGCTTTTACAAGAGCAGACGTGTTGCTAAGACTGTTGCAAAAAGTATTGCGATATTTAGTTAAGAGTTTATACTAGTAATTTACATGTTTGTCTCTCTCTGTGTGTGTGTGTGTGTGTGTGTGTGTGTGTGTTGTGTTGCAGGGTCGTGTGATGGCCTCCATGTTCTACGAGGTGAGCACTCGCACCAGCAGCTCCTTCGCCTCCGCCATGTTCCGTTTGGGAGGTGCAGTGGTGCAGTTCACTGAGACCACCTCCTCCTCACAGAAGGGAGAGTCTCTGAGCGACTCTGTGCAGACCATGAGCGGCTACGCTGATGTGCTGGTGCTGAGGCATCCCACACCTGGTGCCGTGGAGGTGAGATGTTATCATTTATGACAGCAGAACGAGCCGAGGAGCTGTGTTCAGGGAATGAAGCTCTCACTATCAGTTTGCACTTTCCTTTCCTGTCGGTATTTTAGTCCATTATCATTTGAGTCTGGTCTCTCTCTCACTGGTCTCTCTCTCTGCTCTCTTTTGATGATTTTTTAACAATTTTGACAATGGCCTCTTTGGAACTGATAGTGACTCTTTGTGTGTGTCTCTGTTCTCTGGTCTCTTCTCCTGGCCTCTCTCCCTGGTCTCTCCTCCTGGTCTTTCAGTCTGCGTCTCGTTTGTGTCGGAAGCCTGTGATAAATGCAGGAGATGGAGTTGGAGAACATCCGACTCAGGCTCTGCTCGACGTCTTCACCATCAGAGAGGAGCTGGGGACGGTCAACGGCATGACGGTAACACACACAGACACACCCACGGACGCACACGCGCACACACACACACACACCATAAACAGGCAACAGTCATACCCTACAGACCCATTAAACAAAACGCATGATTAAAGTGTGTTTTTAATCCGAGTCTCTCCCTCAGATCACGATGGTGGGGGACCTGAAACACGGTCGCACAGTCCACTCTTTGGCCAAACTGCTGACTCAGTACAGGATCACACTGAGGTATGTGGCCCCCAAGAACCTGCACATGCCCCCAGAGATCTGCAGCTACGTGGCCTCCAGAGGCATCAAGCAGGTGAGAGACTACTCCGGTACTCCAGTACTCTTACTCTGGTACTCTTATTCTGGTAAGCTCTAACTCTGACTCCTGCTGCAGGAGGAGTTTGAGAGCATCGAGGAGGCGCTGCCCGACACAGACGTCCTGTACATGACCCGCATCCAAAAGGAGCGCTTCTCCTCCGAGGAGGAGTACCAAGCGGTGAGTGATACAGGAGGTGACATCACCTGGCCCTCTGTAGGGTTTCTGACGTGTGTGTTGTGTGTGTGTGTCTGTGTTGTATGTGTGTGTGTGCAGTGTTTTGGTCAGTTCATCCTCAGTCCTCACATTATGACTGGAGCCAAGAAGAAGATGGTGGTGATGCATCCTCTGCCGCGCGTCAACGAGATTAGGTCAGTAACTTTAAAGCTGGGGTCTGTAACTTTAAAGGTACTCTTTGTATTTAGTTGCTCCAAATTTAAAAAACACGTGACCTTTTTAAGAATGTTACCTCCACAATGTTTTTTTATGTAGATAAGAGAGGAGTTCTCTCCATGTCAATGCTTTTGAAATACAGTGGTTGATAAAGGACAAAAAGACAGTAACTTTCTTCACACCGATAGTAATGAGAACGAGGCAGAATCTGCAACACAGGTTTCACAATGTTCTGACCCGATACGAGCGCAGTCCAACTACTATGTCACAAGTTTCAACTAAACTTATTCAGGGACAAGCCTCAAATACAGTGGGGCAAAAAAGTATTTAGTCCGCCACCAAGTGTGCAAGTTCTCCCTCTTTAAAAGATGGGAGGCCTGTAATTCTCATCATAGGTGAAACTTAACTATTACTGCTAATTTACGCATCGCGCGTTACAGCACGTACGCGTTATACGCGCAGTAGACGCGCGTAACTTTTTTCCATGTTAACCTATGATGATATTTACACTTCTAGCGTTATACACGCGTATGACGGACGTATGTCGCGAAGCTGCGCTCTAATTTAGGATGGATTTCTAATTTTGTGCGCGCACCAACGCGTCTCCCATTGAAATCTCATGTAAAACATGATTTTTCTAGCGGTCCTTGGCTCTAGATCGCAGTATACGCACACAGCACTTGTATCTAAACATCAGCAGGAGGAGCAGCAGGTTTTACAGTGATTCTGGACGTCGTTTTTTTTCTTTCATAAAGTCTCATGTCTGGCCAAACCAGCACAGAGACCATGAAGACAAACACATGCATGTGATTTGTGTTGCTCTACATCAGTCCTCTGGCCCGTACTGTCCTCTACACTGCTCCATAGACACACACAGGGAGATCATCAGAAGACGCGGACCTGCGCGCACGGCCTGTGTAGATACTCCAAAAAAATGTTACGCGCAGAGAGCGCGCAGTAAACGCGTACGCGCTGTTTACGCCTACTGTGTAAATTCCCTGTTAGACAAAGAATGAGAAAGAAAATACAGAAAATCACATCAATAATTATGGTGGAAAATAAGTGTTTGTTCACCTACAAACAAGTCAAAGGGGTATGTGACAAAGTATTGAGATTAACTTTTGTTATTGACCAAATACTTATTTTCCACCATAATTTGCAAATTCTTAAATCTGAAAATGTTCTCCTTCTGTCTCTCATAGTTGAGAGACTAAAGGACTCTTTCCTTGGCCGGGAGTTGGGGACCACGGCAAATTATCCTTCCAAGCTATTATGCAATGTATGATCTCAACGCTAGATGGGAGTAAAAACTAGACAGTGTACCTTTAAAGCCTGGGTCCGGTATTTTAAAGCTGGGTTCTGTGGGGAGAGGGGAGGAAAGAGTTAGAATTATAATAATCCGATCTGGATCCCTGTGATGTCACATGGTGTGTTGTGTTGCAGTGCGGAGGTGGACTCAGACCCTCGCGCCGCATACTTCCGACAGGCGGAGAACGGAATGTACATCCGCATGGCTCTGCTCGCCACCGTGCTGGGGAGATAGACCCAACCTGGCAACATCCCCCCTTCACTCCCTCTTCACCCCCCCACTCTTTGATGTCATTCTGTCAATGTGAATGTGAGACGAGTTAAAAGAATCACAACAAACGCACAATCCAGTTCAAACGGTCTCATACAAAACAGTTCTGTGTCCACCTGCTCTACTCGACCTAGTTGGTTTTTACCATTAAGCTTTAGTATCTGCTACTGTATCCTAGCAACCTAACCACAACAAACAAGTATCTGTGGAAATTCCTTGTTAACCATGGCTTCCAGTAGCTCCCTGGCCAATCACTGTCAGAACACTTTAGTACCGGCTCGACCTGGATAGAACCAGGACCAAGAGGGACTAAAGAAGGACCCGGCACTGGTGACAGAGAAGGCTAGTGGCTAATCTACAACCATCTGTCTTTCTGTATTAGTCATTTCTAAATGTTTATGTTCATTGTTTTGGTTTTGCAAAGATGGCGTCGAAACGAAACCAGAGAATAGAGAACTTAACGGAGCGTTCAGTCTGAAGCCTCTCCATGTGTTTTATCATCTGTGATAGTTTGTCTAATTTGAAGTCATCATCATTCCGACTAACGAGGACCAACCCCCGTTCTTACAGAGGGGAAAGGTACCATGAGAGATGGACTGTGGGACTGTGACGCAGGTACCATGTGGGTCACAGATGCACTATGGAACTGTGTGGTGTCACAAGATACCAGAAAAATGAAAGTGATTGTTCTGGAGATCATGTTTTAGGGACATTCCTCTGGTGTTTAAGCTGCTGCAAACGTAAAACTGTCTTTTTATATAAAACTTTATCAATAAATATGGAAAGGGAATGGTTTTTGTGTTGTTATTCTGAGACGTCACTAACTTTACTGTTTGCTATAGTGCAACTTATAGCTGGAGTCTGTGACTTTCAAACCGATAGAACTCTGTTCTGTTGGTCTGAAACTCATGTGTCTAGTTCTGGCTCTAAATCAGTTGCTTCTGGCACTAGTTTCATGTGTAATGTATCTGTCACATCTTTAGATTAACTTTATCAGACAGAAAAGTTAAAATACTCAAAAAATATTCCCATGGAGATGCCGGGGATTGAACCCGGGGCCTCATACATGCAAAGCATGCGCTCTACCACTGAGCTACATCCCCATAGGTAAGCAGGACGGATATTGGAGAATATGAAGCTGTTACCGCGGGTGAGAACGTTGTCTGAGAAAGTGAGAATATTATGAATCTGAGACAGATCAGAGACACAAACATGAAGCATCTTAGAGTGCTACTGAGAGACACTATCTGTTTAAAATGTTTAATTTATTACTGTTAGCTTGTTAGCTTCAGTACCTGTAGTATGAACATGCTTCCGCAGCCACACTCCGTGACGTCAACTCCTCATTCTCAATATGAGAATGAGGAGTTGACGTCACGGCACAGAGTCCCCCCTCCCCATCCCCCCTTTGCCGACATATTGGCTGCGCACCGGTGGCGGCAGTACAGTTTGTTTACGTGTGTTGTGAACGCGGTAGTAGCGGAGGTTCTTGCTATTCCGCACTGTTTTATCATGCCTGGAAATAACTGCTGCGTTAAAAACTGCTCCAATACCTCCCACGATGGATATGGAAAACCTAGTAACAACGGGATACAGTTTTTTAGGTTACCGAAATGGAAAAAGCATCAAGGGGAGCAATTCTCTGACCTGACAAGGAGACGTCGGATTGCTTGGTTGGCTGCAATTAGAAGAAAGGACCTTACTTTCGATCACACACCCCTGTCGACGAGAGTGTGTTCTCTGCATTTTCACTCTGGTACGTTCTCTAAAAATGTATTTATGTAGTTGTCTCTTAAAGCTAGGAAGTGTAGGTTAGCATGTTATTATGGTTTCTGTAGTGCCTTTGTCTCTGTGTCTTTGTTACCCTCTCAGGCTGTTTCTTACTTAGCACGTGTTCTGCGAGGTCTTTGCCAGTGTAAAGCATAGATTACATAGATTGTACACATAATCTAATTATTCTGTTGTACATAAACCTTCATATGACATTATGAGGTGACCTAAAAAGTACTTGAGATGCTGTTCATGACATAGTTGCCAGTTTAAAGCATTGATTACATAGATTGTGCAAATTATTATATTAATTATATGTTGTTATTATTCTCGTGTAGGTAAACCAGCATATGAGATGTTGGAGAACCACCCTGACTGGACACCATCCCTGTTGTTAGGCCACAATGATGTACAAAAAACAGATGAAGCGAGATATCAGCGGCAAGTAAGGCGCAGGTCCCTGCCACTGGAGCGGCAGCCACCTCCAGCCCAACACCAGCCGCAGGCGCCGCCGCTTCCAGCCCTAGACCAGCTGCAGCCGCCACCAGCCCTAGACCAGCCGCAGGCGCCGCCGCCACCAGCCCTAGACCAGCCGCAGGCGCCGCCGCCACCAGTCCTAGACCAGCCGCAGGCGCCGCCGCCGCCAGCCCTAGACCAGCCGCAGGCGCCGCCGCCGCCAGCCCTAGACCAGCCGCAGGCGCCGCCGCCACCAGCCCTAGACCAGCCGCAGGCGCTGCCGCCACCAGCCCTAGACCAGCCGCAGGCGCCGCCGCCACCAGCCCTAGACCAGCCGCAGGCGCCGCCGCCGCCAGCCCTAGACCAGCCGCAGGCGCCGCCGCCGCCAGCCCTAGACCAGCCGCAGGCGCCGCCGCCGCCAGCCCTAGACCAGCCGCCAGCTGACCCGGACATGGAATGTGGACTCTGCACATCTAGACGAGATGTTATCAACAATCTTCTTGAAGAAAACAGACAGCTGAAGCGTGAGCTTGATACGTACCGGATGAATGAGAACTTTCTGAGTGGTGATGATAACACAGTGAAGTATTACACGGGGCTTCCAAACTTTGCATTGTTCCAGACACTTCTACTCTACCTAACTCCAGATCTGCCTCAAGGTAGAATGAAGAAGCTCTCACCCTTCCAGCTTGTCCTATTGACTTTAATGCGCCTCAGACTGGACCTTCCAATAACAGCACCTCAGCCATCTGTTTAGAGTACATAGGACAACAGTCGCCGATGCCTTTCACCATACCCTTGGTGTGATGTACGCACAGCTGTGTCCATTGGTGCACTGGCCAAGTAGGGAATGCTTATTGACCAGTATGCCACACCAGTTTGTGGAGTCATTTGGGAACAATGTGGCTGCCATTGTGGACTGCTTCGAGGTGTTCATCGAGAAACCTTCCAATGTACTAGCAAGGGCACAGACTTTTTCTCAATACAAACACGCATACACTATGAAATACCTAATCGTGATCACGCCCCAGGGTGTAATTTCCTTCATATCGAACGGGTGGGGTGGGCGCACAAGCGACAAGCATATAACCGAGCAAAGTGGTTTCCTGAACAAGCTGTTACCAGGTGACATTGTGCTGGCAGATAGAGGCTTTAATATAAGAGAACATGTGGGCATGATGTGTGCTGAAGTGAAAATACCTACATTCACCAGGGGTCGTGCTCAGCTTGAGGCGAAAGATGTGGAGGAGACTAGGGCCATAGCACATCTCAGAATTCACGTGGAGAGGGTGATCGGTGTTGTGCGCAACAAATTCAAATTCTTACACTCAACTGTACCTGTGCACATGCTTGTCAAATGTGAGGGTGAAAACCTAATGCCTTTGGATAAGATTGTCATTGTTTGCTGTGCCTTAACGAACATGTGCAAAAGTGTTGTTTGAGTACCTTATTCTTTACTGTATCTTTTATTTTTAAATAAATGCATGAAACAACTTGATATGGTTTACCAATATTTATTGAGAAATGAATATTTTTTTTGTTACAAACGTGTGCAGTCAAAGTACTGTTTCCAGCATGTAAACATGCCCAACATAGGTAAAAATGATAATAAGAGTCATACTTTTCTTAGTGCAAAGGGACACAAAACACTGCAAAACAACGTGTGCATTCAAAGTACTGTTTCCAGCATGTAAACATGCACAAAATAATAAAATAAATTATAACATAAATAATAATAACAAATAAGACTGTTATTAGTGCAAATGTACAAAAAAAAACACTGCAAAGGCACACAGCAATAACAATAATACAATTTTAAGAAATAGGAAAAACCTATTCTGCACAACAAGGGCAAAACCATGGCGTGTCACCAAAGGGTTTATTAACAAGCCCCACACAACTGAAGTGAAACCACTGGACTGGAAAACGTAAATGCGTATAATTTAAAGTGCTCTGGAATATGAGGAGCGCGTGAAATTCTGGGGGCGTGCCCCCGTTGCGCAGCCAATATGTCCGACAGGCTCAGAGCCCCCCCCAAATCACCCCAACTCGGCACGTGACTCCTCATTCTCAATACCCCTGACTGCAGTCCGCAGATCGGGGCGGAGCTCAACGTGGGCGGAGTCAAACGTTTGACTCCGCCCATGCTGCATTTCTTTGCATTTTCGGAGTCAAACGTTTGACTCCGCCCACCGCGGAAGCTTCTTTTTTTTTTCTTTTTTTTAACGGAAGCGTTTTTTTTTTTCATTTTACCCTGATTTTAATCTTGATCAAGGGTAAAAATCATCAAGTGTGATGATTTAAAAAAATAATTAATATTTATCGGTCCCGATATGCTTTTCATTCTTCTACTCCTTTGTATATTATATGGTATATTTATATCGTACTCTTATTGGAGATTGGTCACCGCATGTATTGTATTATTGCTACCTGATTCTGACCGATTTCGGATGGTTACAACACCTAAGCTTGTAGAAGTAATAGTAGCTTTTGATATTGAGGAGCGAGCCGCATTCTAGATGAGATGTTATACGTATAATGGCAGGGAATCACAGTCTGTTGAGTTGTCATGAATTAGTCTTGCCTTGGGTGCACAGAACCTGGCTGTTCTTTTTTGTCTCAAATGTAAATACCAGCGGTACTATAATAGTAAGGTTTACAATATATTCTACATGCATTCTATGTCTCATAAACATAAATGCTACTAAATATAATAGTAATATGATGACATTTCCATG